GAGGGAGGAAGCAAACAAAAGGGTCTGTGTCTGTAGGCATAAATTCAACAGAAAGTCTTTTAGACTGGCGTAATCAATGCCACAATGTATATGAGGTAAAAATTGAGGAAATATTCTTAGCTTGGATTGAATTGCCTTTGCCGTTGAGCACCACTTCGTATATGAAGACCTTTCCTTAACCAGTTTAAGGCTGTTTCACATGCATATTAAGACAGCCAGGAACACACAGGTGAGTTTGGTTTAAACAGTCTTGGAATAAAAAATCGTGCATTCTCTTTCTTTGATAAATTCTTGGTGGTAGCTCAGTCTTTGTCAAGCATATGGTTCTTTATAGCGGGCGTCTTCACAGCACTGCCTTTGGGGAATGCTGCGGAGACAGGAATAGCTCTGGGTGTCAGTGCTTGCCTGTGCCAACTGCCTGATCAGATGGGAATGTTCTGCTCTAATAATGTAAATCAGAAATAAGAACCCAAGCTCTCGTGAGATTCACTGTGACCAGTGGCTGGAGAGTAGAGAGAGCCATCACACCTGCTCTTGCAATGCTTTGTAGAAGCAATCAGTATCCTTAGTTACCAGCTGGAGACCTGTGTTTTTAAAACTCATTTAGTAGCCTCTTTAAAATCGGTGCAGATATATATGTAACAGGATGTTTGGTTTTGCTTTTCTGTGTACTATCAGCATTTTCAGTAGCTGAAGAAAAAAAATCTGGCACAATTAAAGCAAATATTCAGATGCAGTACATCCTCTGTGTTCAGCAGCACTTCTCTGAGTGAACCCACAGAACCAGTGCACCTAGCTGTATTACAAACAATCTCTTTTAAGTTTGCATCTCTTTTGCTTCTTTTACTACACACACATGTATGTGATACGATAGCAGGAGCAGGACCTGTTTTCAATGCATTACTTGCAGTACCCAAGTCAGCCTGGATTTCTCGGCGCTACTGCTTCTATGTCAGAATTGTGTCTCTTGTAGAACTCCTCCTTGATTCTCTTCAGTTGCTCACAATATGACATAGCCTTTTGTGATAACTCTAGGTATATATATTGCCAGTTTACATAGAGCTTAGTGTTCCCCTTTGTTCCTCTTCTACTGCAGGAGCAGTAGTCTGGTGTGATCCGTGGAACATCTGCCTCAGTCACCATGTCAAGCTAAAACCTTCTGCAGGATTCCAAATTATATCAATCCTACAATCCTAGAGCACAATTTTCACCAAAAATGAAGGTTGGAACACTTTGGTGTGTTTCAGTCAGTCTCCTCAGATGAGGATGCTTCCTAGAAAAAATGCACTTTTACAACCTGCCAAAATATTTGGAGTCCATGGTGGCAAATGCTGCTTTCCAGACAAACTGTGAAGTTCTTGCGTAGCTGGGATTCTCTTGTGGACAAACTTACACTGCCAGCAGAAGCCTTTGGCTGACCTAAATGGATTAGTACTCTTACTCCAAGGAAATCATAGGCAAGGGGTAGATTAGTGAAGATCTTGTGTGTACAACTACTACCTTACTCTTCATTTTTGGATCAACCACACAGATACTTTATTAACATTCTCAAAATGCCACGCAACTCCTCAGATTTACTCCAGCCTTACAGCTTGTTTCACCATCTGTGTGGATTGCCTCTCTCAGATTTTGTAAGCATGGTGATGTTTTAATAAGGGGCACAGGCTTAGATAGTGTTTGTTTAGGATGTTCACTGTGATTTCAAATTCTGCTTCATTCTGCTTTATAATTTTACTAAATGCAAGTTTTGTCAATTTGCATGTGGCACAGTATCAGATGTTTCACAGAACTCAAGGTAGATTGGATTTTAATTAACCTTCTACTTTCCTTTAGCCTTATCTCTATCAAATACTGACCCTACTGCTTTTTGTTGCTAGGGAGTAAAAGATCACTTAATTCTAGCTCTTTCCAACTAGTTGTTACCTTTTGTTTGGCTCTCTATTTTAATACATATTTTTTTGTCATTTAGGTAAGTGTGCTTGGAGGCATGGCCTTGATTTTTCCCCACATCTATGTAAATTGTTCCACAAACATTTTGTGCCTTTGTCTTTAAGAATACCAGTCCTCCTTCCTTCTCCAGGCATTTGCCAGATGACTTCATTAAGTAGCCTTTCTAACCTCTCATAATAAGGCTAAATTGGAAAAAAAAAAAAACCCAAAAACTTAAATGTTAATAGAGCTGCAAACTTGCTGTCCTTAAAAAAAAAAAAAAAATCCTTTCTCATTCTTACTTTTTTCCACCTATAAAACACTTATATAAAACAAATGAAAAATTTAAATTCCTGGAAACTACTCTTTCTTGCCCTGAAGGTGGCTAAAATTATCACAATTATCCAGGCAACCCTAACTGTTGACAGAAGTTTTTGTTTGTTTTATGTAGCTACTGTATTTAATTTAGAAACTACTAAAAATAAAATCGTCTTAGAGACCATCTGCTTAAAATGACAGTGCATACTAGGGATAAATTTCTAAACTTCTTTTCCTGCTTTGTTCATTATCTCTCCAAAAACTGGTTACTTAACAAAATCAATATGCAGTGCTAAGGGTTTCTTTTCTGAATTTATTTTCTACTTACATCCAATGTACACATATCCATTTGCAACAAGTAGTCATACTTCACTCATATGCTGACTGCTCTGGGAGATCAAAGGGTAAAAGTAGGGAGAGCCTTGTTATCATGCTTGAGTACCATGTAGAGGCTTCAGGTTCCTCAGAAAAATTAACTGTTCCTTTGGTGAAGGGACCTTTTTCCTTTTGCCCCCTCATTGCCTGTTCTGTTCTGGATTCCAGGACACGAGGAAGAAAAACCTGAGCAGATGGTCAGAGCCCATTGTGTACTACAGCACATCATGGGCCTTTTGTTTAGTTTGGTTTTGGTTGGTTTGTTTCTTGATTGGATTAAGTAATAGACATGTTGAGAAGGAGGAAATTTCCTTTTCGAGAGAATTTGTTGGTAGAAGTTCCCACACTTCATCACGTAGTGTAGTCTTGTCATTCAAACTTTTCTATCAGTACTTTGGTGATCTCCAAAATACCCGCACCTGCATTTGGCATCTAGGCTTGAAAATGAGAATAAATTAGAAATGGAGGTAGGCTAATTAATTTGTCTTCAGTTAGTTTATTGGATTTTGCTTTCATTTCTTATTTTTGTTGAATCAAAAAGTCTGGAAGATGTCTTTGGTTTGTTTAGAGCTGTTTCTATGGAATGCAGGCCTAATAGGTTTGAAGAACCTGTTGGGAAATGTTAATATTGTTAATTGAAAGAAAGCAGATCAAAGAGGAAGCTACCCTGTCAGATAACATTGTTTCTATGATCTCTAGCAATTCAAACATAAAAAAAATGTGTACCCAGTGAATCCCCTCCTTTCCACCTGTTGACAGAGTCATGGTAAGCTGAAAATGTGATGCTCTCAATCTTCAGCCCCTGAAGTTTGTAGCCTTCCCTGATACCTTTTACGATGTTCTCTGGCTTTTCAAAATATCAGTTAATTGTTAAAATCTTTCAGAACCTATGCAGATGTCTCTTGCAGAGATTTCCAACAGTCCATATCCTCTAAAAATGCATTGGAATAGTCCATATGTGATTTATTACTACATCTTTATGGTTTCTTTGTTTTAAATGTTTAATGTGAATTCTAATATTCATGAGTTAACCTATGTTTTGTCAGAGGAGAAATAACCAATGAAATTCTGAGGGGTTTTCTTACGTCTCATATCCATATTCTGACTCTCCATAAAGACACAACTGTAGTGACAACTCTCAATCTGACAAACGTCACATATGAGAAAAGAACAGAAAATCCCTTTCTGTCGCAATTCATTATTATTGTAAAATAAGTCTTCCTTCCCTGAAATGTCATGGAGAATTGTTGTATTTAAAGTGTGGTTGGGACAGATTGGAGAGATGCTGTGAATTCCCCTAGTGATGTAAACTTGACCTCAGTGCAGAATGATCTTTATAATTTAGGAAGGAGTCTGGTTGGTGATCAGGATTATTTTGGCCAAATATTATATAGCTGGAGTCTGCAACAGGTCTACCAGGTTGGGTTTTTTTTTTTTTTTTGGCAATGAGGTCCCAGATGATCATGGTAAATGCAACAGAGAACTTTTTTTGTAAGTTACCTCTTTTTCCCAGTTTCCCTAATTTCCCTTTTTTAGTTAAAAATGTATCACTAGATAGAAGATGGTCAAAATGTTTATATGGCACAAAAAATAAGCTCTTGGGGAAAAGACATATGATAACTGAGTATGCCATGCAGAGAGGCTGTGTGTATTTCTGGTTTTAGGGACGCAAAGTCCAAAGCCATTTCCATGAATGATTTTACCTGTAAACCCAGAGTGGAAAAATTCACCTGAAGTGATAGATTAAGTTCAGGCCTGGAAGCTTCATTATACATACTGGGACCTCTTCAGCATACTTGAATTCAGTTCTTTTATGTGACGCTAATGGCATTTCATGTTTTGTAGGATTAAAGTAAAGTGCAAAGACTTGAGTGCTCAAGTATGGCCAGAAATGTGTAAACGTTTTGCACTGACTGTATCTGAAAAAAAAAAACCAACCCAAACAATAGACAAAATTGGTCATTGCTTTCTGTATAAGATAGTGATTGGTATTGCATAGAGACAGCAATAAGTAAAAAGGACTTTTTTGCAAATCAGTATTTCATAGCAAACCATTTGTGGTGATATGAGCATGCATTTTCTTTCTTTTCATATTTTAAGGTTTCATGGAGCCTTTTTATTTAGAAAACTTAATCAGTTAGAGAACTAATTCCACAAAGTTACTTCTTCTAGTTATACTTTGTATAGTTCTTTTCCAGAGAAGTACAGCTTAAAATGACAAATAGCTTCATATTTGATTTTAATGTTTGCTTTGATAATAATGGAGGCAAAAAATATTTTATTTAGGCATTTCTGTCTTCTTTGTTGACTAACTGTTGGCACTTTTATTCACTAATAGCAGAATTTTTTATGAATCTTTTGTATTTGCTTTCACACAGAGAGTTTGGATGGCGGGATCCAGAGCTTCCAGAAGTTATACAGATGTTACAGCATCAATTTCCCTCAGTACAGTCAAATGCTGCAGCCTACTTACAACACCTCTGTTTCGGAGACAATAAAATAAAAGCAGAGGTAAGATTTATAAATCCTTTTTTCAGCAGTGTTGCTGTCTGCTATTTATCATCACCAATTATTTATGTGTGCTTTGAAAAACTTAAAAGAGACATCATGGATATATGCCTAGACCCATTTTACTAAAGCTTTCTCTTAAGTCATTTGTTACTGTTACAAAATGAAAAAAAAAGCATAAAATACTGTTGTAACTCATTGTTTTATTTTCTTTGGAACAGTTTGATTGATTGCATACCATTTAAACACTATCATAGTTGTTCAGTAATCACCTAGTGGTGTAGTCTTGATCTCTGGAACATATGGGCATTTCCTTAGGGCTCTCTGAGAGGCATCTAGACGGTAAATACAAACACAGAATATGAAAATTTAGCAAGAAATTTCTAAATCAAAGCATCCTGTAATGCATAATTGTGTGAATAGGTTTAATTTGGCTGTGTTTGCAGCTTGAATGGTGCTCACTGTTCTATGATCTTGGAATTCATTGCACATTGTATCTAAAATGTAATTCAGACATCAGTATAGAGCTTGTTCTGTACCTGTAGCTGACAGGTACTTCTTTCTTGTTTGTTCCCTGTGGTTAATGGGACCAGTGCTGCTTTTGGCACAAGTTAAACAGAAGGAAGGCAGCTCTGAGGGATCTGACAAACACACAGCAGTCAATTAAAATTGAATGAGTGAAGCCGTTACCAGCCCCAGCTGCTTCCCCTGGCCCTCTCAGAGACACTGCTAATCAGGGACATGTGGTGTGCACATAAATCTGTGCCTGTACTGGCACCTTTTAGCCTGGCATGTAAAGGTAAACTGAGATCAAGATCTGCTCCTGCTTATTCATCAGAGCTGTGCAGTGATGCTGACTTCCCAGTGCTTCATCTTCCTCACCCTCAGCACAGCCCACTCCGTGGATCTATCTCACTACAGAACCTTCCCTTGCGGGCTTTTTCGTGCTCAGGAAATTACTTAGTGAGTAAGCATGTAGTCTGCTGGTGTTGGCAGAACTGCACTGGTTGCAAACATCACCTCAAACATCTTAGATATAGTAATAAAGAAATTTTTGCATGAATGTGAAGTGAGGAATGTTTGGAGAAGAGAATTCTGGTACAGGTATCACTGAAAATTTTAATTGCGTGTTCTCTCTGTACTTGACTCTCATCCTTATTCAGAAATAAGTTTTTCAATAAAAGACCTGATAAAACTCTGAGAAAGGCAGTTAAATTATTAGAACAATTTACTCATTGCACAATCTCTGCTGGCTCCTGTTAGCCATAGATTGAGACCCCTCAAGTAGCTGTCTCATTTGAGGGAGGCAGATGGTTTAATTTCTTTTGCTAACCATTTAGGAAAGAAGGGGTCTGATCACTGTTGATCTCACCCATCCCAGCAACCTTTGGGCATCAGCCTTTGTAAGCTTTTAAGGCTCATGAGCTGGAAGGGTGAAGGTAGGTAAATACAACAGTAGAGCACTAGGCAGTGTTCTGAGCTTCTTCTGTGAGATAGGATAGCAGATAAAACAAGGATTCCCCCATTTCATTTGTTATTATTCAGGACTTTTATATACCCTTCACTATGTAATAACATGAACTGCTATAGAAACAAACCAAAGTACCTTTCTTAAAGCAGTTCATGTAAGAATATGCTTTCAAACTTCTGGTACTTTGGATTTTTGTTAGAGGACAAAATAATGGGATGTATTGTAATACTTTCCTAATGCTTTGTGGAGCTTTTCAGCCTAAAGCACCCAACATTATCAAAGTATTTTATCTCTGTCTGTATATATCTACGTACAAACCTCTGTTGTTCAACGGCAAGTCCTGTTGTGTTTAGGTCATGCTTCAGCAGAGCTCTTTGAACAGTTTCTGTGTTTGCTTGTTGGGATCAGGGTCTACCCAAATGGCTCAGTAGTGTGCCTAGGGCCTGCTCGACCTCCCACTGAATCAGTTTCTCAAGGAGCCTTTTTGTGAGAGTTCAAAATCCTGTTGATGAGGAGATAACACAACAGATACCTCAGATTCTTTGTAGGTGTATACCTAGCCAGAGGAACTTGGGCAGTCCTGTTAAACCTGCCCAGGACAACTCCTGTGATAACTGTTAAGGATGTGTCTGAATTATGAGTTTAATTAACACCTAAATAATAGAAACTGATACCAAAATTTTCTTTTCTGCAACGTATTTGTGTTGCAGTTGTGTGTTGTGGCCAGTTCTCTTCTGTGTGAGAATGACCACATTTAATACTGAATTCCTTCTTCATGATAGCAGCATTCCAGCCTTGCTGCGCATGGTTGCAGGGAATCTTGCCAGCGCTGACACAAGGAAAAAAGCGCCAGGATGCAGCATATTTTCCTTACAATCTCTTATTGAGATTACAGAGCAAAAAAATTCCAAACAATTCTTTTGAAGCAGAGAAAAATGCTCTTTGATGAAATACCTAGCTTTAATATAGCAAAGGACTTAGGCTAAAGATAAGAAACTGTCTTGGTGGTCTTTCAAATCCTAGAGAAAGGACAAACCTAAATATGTGTAAGTAAAGAAGAGGTGCTGTTGTTTTATGTGTCTGACAGCCACTGAGGAAAAGGCAAATGGAATTCACTAAATAATTTTTTAAATGTTAATCTTTAATATACACTTGATCATGCATGCACAGAAAGAATAATATTATACAACCATTCAGTTTGTTTACCTGGTTGTATTGAACTTGAAATGTAATGCAGTTTTTAAAGTTTTAGCTCTGGTGTTTCCTGACAGGGAAAAAAGTTCTCTTACCTTTGTCACTATTGAGCATCAAATACTCACACTGCAATTAATGGCTATTTCATCCAGAGTCTCTGGAAATAACTGTTCTGAAATACTTTTTTTATTCTTCTTCTTTGAAACATGATTTATACTGTATCACCTAGCCAAAAAGATGATTAATGATCTTTCCTCTGAACCTGACCATTCTTTCAGTCTTGTTTTTGTATAGTGGCAGACTTGTCCTACTCTCATAAATTAGTGGGATATGTATAAAATTTCTCCTCACGTACTTGGTAAGACAAAGGCCTGCCTCCTCTTTTGTAGAAGAGTGTCACATAAAATTTAGACAGAAATAGAAAATAGCAGCTGTGACTATATGCATTTCTGAGATTCCTAGTATCTTTTATGGTTTTACCATTACATTTTTATCTTCTAAAATATTTCAATTTCTGTGGCTGAAATATGGAACACTACCCCTTGCTTCTTCTGAACCTTCCCCTCAAGAAAAGGAAGTGAAAATGCTCTCCAGTAAACATCTGAGAAAAAAATGCTCAGTCAAAAAAGTTGGATGCATGGCTAGGGAAACTAGAGCTATTTTTCTTTTCCTGACCATATTGTTTATGGTACGTGTTATTTCTAGAGCACATTGATCACAGGTGTGCTTATGAATTTGGTGATGTTACTGGAAATGTGCTTTTATGGTTGCATCAGCATAAATGTCCTGCTCAGTCTTACACAGCAATGAGGTTTGCAAATCCCCTTCTCTATCTTAAAGTACTTCAAACAAAGTTGGTAACTGTTCATGTGAAGATGTCCCAGGCTGAATGCTAAGGTTCAGAAGCAATTTTCTTTCTCACAGAATAAACCCAGCTTCTGGAGTGAATTAGGTTTTGTATTTCTGGAAGAATTTCTATTTTTCCCTTGTTACCCCTGATCACAGCAGAACAGCAGTAGGTAAACGCAATAAACACTTGCCTTTGATAAAGACAGTGGTGTTACTTCTTGCAGGTGCTGCCACTTCTATGCTGCTCAAAACCATTCAGTGCAAGTCTTTATTTCAAAGTACAGTTGTAACTGCTGCTCTGTCTGAAAGTTTTTCACAAATGCTACTCCTGAGTCTCCTTGAGTCTTGCTGTCTGCAAGGCAGGTACTATACATGTTCTCAGTAGTGCTTCTCATTCTGTGCCTTTATTTTTATTCCCTGTGCTGGGTTCTATGTGGTGCAGCAGACATTAGAATGGAGTTGAAGAAATTGGATTGTTTTTGCTATTGTTTGATAGTTGGATTTTTTATCTTCCTTTGAGTAGTGACCAATCATCACTGAAGGTCTCACATAAGTAGAAGGGGACATAGGGAGGCAGAAGTCATAATATAAAGATTATAAAAATTGCCAGGCAGCCCATTACAGTTAGGCATAATAATTCCAAAATTGAGAATCTCAGAATTCTTCAGTGAATTAGTATATGAATTATTCTTTCACTGGTAATAGTGAAGAATGTAACTTAAAGGCAAAAGCGAAAGAGGGAAGAAGTTTTGATCAGATATTTGAATGCAAATGAAAAGCCTATCAGGCAGAAGAGCACAAGAAGACCCTTTCAGATGGCATTTTTCTTCTCAGGAGAGGCTCTTACACCAACAATGGTAAGATTGTGAGCAGGGCCAGAGTAGCTGCTCCTGGATGCCAAGAAGGAACAGACAGGGGATATAGGAAAGGAGAAGCATTTTAAAATACTCTGCAGAGAACATTTCTTTTAAAGAGCACATTCTATTAAACACAGGGTTCATTCTTCCACAGCATTCTTTTCTTCCTATAATGACATTTTCCTCCTTTGTATGAGGTCACCATGTAAAATGATTGAATTGTGCAGTTTCACACGCCAACACCATTTTGCCCTCATGGAAAATGGCAGCCTGCCATCAGCTGCAGAGGTGTAACAGTTCACTCAGGGGTTTTGGTACCAATGATTCCTTTCCTCAAGATAGGAAATTAATTTTTGCCAGTAAAGTCACAACATTTGAGATTCTTATCTCAGGAAAATAATTCAAAGATGCCAAATAAAAGAACAGCAACTGCTGAACTTTCCTGCCTGAAGCCTTCCCTTGCACCCTTAATAAGTACTGCTGAATTGGACAGTGTCCTCTTTATCTTGGAGAGCATTTCCATAAACTCTCTTCAGAAGAAAAGTATCAGTCCAGACACTATCACATGGAGTTGTAACAGCTGAGTGACTGCACGCTGAAAGCATCTATTTTTCCAACTCATTGAAGGCCAT